TGTCATATATCACAATTAAGTACACATGTACTTAACTGTACTCCTAATATGTACTATTTAGTGTTGGCAAAAATTAACCCTAAAATCGTTTAATTAATTATATGAGGCTATAATGAACTACGTCTGGTAGGATGGACTGAAAACAACACTTTTTTCGTAATTGAATAGAACTTGTCACAAGTTTCTATTAGCTTTGGTGACATGGATCATTGACATACTTATAATTCGTTTGGTGATCAATTGAACAAAAGTCTACTAAGTTGGCTTTCTTCAATCTCAACATAGGTATATTTTAATATAAGTAGTAATATCAGTTTCCTTTGAACTATCCTTTTTCACGCATAGGTAATAAAATTAAAAGGTCTTGGAAGCTTCCTTTGCTAAGCTGTTTGGTTATACTAGGTTTATCCTCCATTTGTAATAAATTACAATAGATTTACGAGATTGCCTACTGTTAAAAAGTGTTTTCCAAGGTTATAGAAAGTAACCCTGAATGATGCAGGTCTGTATATTGTATATCAAGTTGAATGAAACAAGTAGTAAATGCGAGAAAGGAACACATCTGGAAAATATGTTTGTCTTTTATTGACAACAAACTGAACTTAGCGCTCTAAACTTTAAGCTAAAATTTATTTATTTCTGATTCATACAAATTTTAAAGCATCTTTATCGATGTAGTTAATTATCAAATTTTGGATTAAAGTTCAAATGAACAAAATAAAAAAAAAAATCTTTAATGACTAGACGTCTAGGATAGCTATTCTAGGGACTTATTCTTATAAAAAAAAAAATTATGATTACTGAACAGAATTAGCATAGATCAATGAACTTAAGTTCAAATATTGGGTTTTTTATAATTGATTACTTTTCAAAACTTCATACCAACAAATCAATGAAAGTATAATTAAATTCAAACTGATTTTATTTATAAATAAGATTATTCATTCTTAAAGCTTTGTTCTGTTTAACTTAGTAGAGTTATAACCTGGTAAATGCCATAAATTCCAAAGTAATAGCATACATGATCAATGATCATAAATGTACAATATTTTAAAAGTAATGTAAGACTTTCTAATTCTATTGAAGTGCTGACTAGAATACCTAATCGAAATTCTGGTGTTCAAAAGCAAAATCTTTTTACAACAATATATATTTGGGTGTCTTTTGTTGCCCACCATAATACCCAAATGTTGCGGAGGGTCTTATAATATAAAATGTTGTATCTACTCTCGGTATTGCGAATAAACTTGTTGAAGGGGAGTTGTGATATACCATATAATTAATTTTTGATATATTCGCATATAATATACGAACACTTTGAAACTAAAACTTACCTTACTTTATCTTTGAAAATAAAAATAAGTTAGTAATAATATATTCTTAGCCTAGTGTTAAACAACAGTTGTTTTGATAGGTTATAGTTATATGGTAGATTATACGTACTGTATGGAGATATACATTTATTTAAAACCGATGTAATTTAACATGGCCAAATAGGTTATAGCATGTTATAGGCTATGACTAATAAGGTAAACAATATAACTTATAAGTTCATCCTTAATAATTATAAGTAAAAAGTGTTTCCTGTCACTAAGTAAAGGCGATCCTTATTAATCTTGGTATTTGTCAGAGAGTTTTCAGTACAGAAAAATTTAACTGTGGTGTCTACAGTGGACCAATACATTGTGATACAAATGGTAGACTTTATTATATAGCACTAGATATTCTCACAAATAGTATTTTTTACTAAGCCTCTGAGCTAAAAGCTGTTACAGGTGTCCAAGTAGGCAAGTCCATGTATCCGATACACAACACTAAAGTCCCTAACATAAACCGTGGTTAGGAGGCAACGCCAAAGTGCTACAAAGTCTTCCTTTATATATTACTATATGTACTCTGTTTATATATAGGCTTTGTGCTGTAGGATAAAATCTTTTATCACAAAAATTACTATTCCTCATATTTGTCATTAATACTACAATATTCAAGATAATATAACAGATCTATCGCGAAACCCCGTATTATTTGAAATAAAATATTGTATTTAATATATAAAAGAAGAATAGGGTAATTTAAAACTTAATTTTGTAAAATCTTTGAACAATATCTAAGTTCTTCCTGTAATGACTTAAGAAAAATTTTGTATAACATTTCACTGATTAAGATTTTTATTTACAGCTTAAACAAATTATGAAGATGATTGTTTTTACTGTAGAAATATGGCTATTTAGGTACGTATAGGGTACATAATACAAACTGTGCATTAACAAACAAACCTGATCAATCAAACTGTTAATACTTTAAAATTTCAATCAAACAGTAACTATATGCAAGCAAAACCTTTTTTGAAATTGTACAGTAAAACATATTTTAAGTATCATTGTTTTTTAAGGGATCGGTAAAAAAGCGAAAAAAATTTTAATTCTGTATAAAGAGTAATTCTTTTTGTGACCTAAGGTATATCACCTTTGTGTCTGATCCTGTAAAAGGGTGCTTTAATTAACACAAAACCTTTCTTTTTCCCATTTCAGGTAACACAATTTTTGTTTTCACATGATACATGTTTTTGTCTCTTAATATAGCTTTTAGAGAACAAGTTTACATTTGTACCATTTATCGTTGACAAAATCTAATGATATTATTTATAAAAGCATCAAGTATTGTTTGTATATCCTTCGGTTTAAATGTTCCAATCCATTATTACATTAATGCTCTCCTACCTAGAAACACACCACTAAATTGAAATTCTTATTTATCATACAACAGGCTCGAACACTTATTTGAAGTTGCATTGGCAATTTTTTCACACCTAAAATACTGTCCGAAAACAGGTGAATGCTGTTGATAGGTGACAACTTAAATAAAACCACAGAAAACATACTACTATAACCCAGAATGTCAACCGCATAGTAAAAAGCATTAAGAGTTTTGAGAGAGTTTTGCCTGTTAATTCGTAGGCAGCGCCACCAGCGTTGCTATGCTGAGTGCATGGCAACGTTGGTGGCGCTGCCCACGATTGACAGGCAAAGCTCTCTCAAAACACTAAATGATTTTTACCATGCGGTTGGCATTCTGGGTTATAGTAGTATGTTTTCTGTGATAAAACCCACACGGAAATTCCATGTAATAAATCATTTAGTTTAGCATAGGAAACACGTAATCTATCAAATAAAATATAGATAGTGTGGAATAAACCAACATAATATTTTAAACAAAACGATCCGCCTAGACATGATAACATTTCGTTAAGTATATATTGCACAACAATACAGTTTATGAAATCTTTGTAACATAGAATACCATTAGTATATGCTTTTAAAAGATGCCTCAGGACAGTATGAAGAAACAAGTCTAGAAGGGTATAAAAATAAGATTGTTTATCTTTAATAGCGGTCCCGGAAATAAAATTGCAAAACAAAGACCCAAGACGTGACACAATGCTGCGCCAGATGTGTTCTTTGTTTGCATTTATTCTTTTAGAAATAGATAATTTTTAATCCCATTGTAAGTTTGTATGCTTACATTTTTTATTTGGTTCCCCGGTTAAAACCGTAAAACTATTTTAGTTTGTTGAATATGGTATAGATATATATAACGAAATCTAAATTGTGTTAGCTACTGAACAATGAAGGACGTTTTTAACCGTGTCAAAGACTTGCGATATTTTTTTTATATTGCCTAACAATATAGTAGTGTAATAAAAACTTGTATGAAGCTTGAGTAAAAATAAAGCCGATGTGTAAAGTATGCTTGGGTACTGAATTTATTGTATTATGATTGTGTTTTGTGCAGACCATTTTTATAACTCTATGTTTATTCTTTTCTCTTAATATGCTTCTACAATAGCCACGATGGACGAAAACAGTGTATGTTACTTAAGTTAATCGTTGAATTATCAAGAGGCTTACACACGATCTAAAACCCCAAATCATATTATATATTAGAATTATTCAACCATACAAATCTCTAATATTGCCCCGGTAACATCCTGTCATTCAGGGAAATTTCATATCCAATTTACAACACGCCCGTATCCCCGGAATCATGTTCTATTTCAATGCCATAGCGTAGAAATAACTCGAGTAAAGGGGTACAATAAATAAGAAATAATAGTCCAAAGAAATTCCTGCCTTAAAATGTATTGTTTATACGAGTATTATTGTAGTATCAATTTGTATTCCCAGATTAATCCAATTATTTTCGATCGATTCGTCCTTTTTAATTTTACTTGATTTACATTCCAGGAATACATTGTAGTAGAAACAAATTTGAAATAGATTAGTAATTAATTTACTTTGGTTTTCAACTAAGAAAGACAAATCCTACAATTACTTTTAAGAACGTTAGAAGTGCAGTGCACACAATCCGACATTCAGCTTATCGCTCTTTTATTATTTGGTGATCCACAAATACAACTAAGGCCTTCGTTTAGTAACTTTGGATTGAACTCTACAAATAATGGACTCAAATAGGATCCATAAATGACAATGCCTAATAACTGTTGTATGTAACCAGTCACTGGTTGATTCCATATAGGCTATTGATAATTAATGTCAATCGTTTAACGACAAAAATATGAGTGTTTAAACGATAGAAAATAAAAATTCGACGGTTTTAGAGGCAAAGAAGCTACCTATCTTAATTGTAGAGAGGAAAGCAACACTTAATAAATTAAATACATTTATGGATTATCCCTAAAAGCAATTTTTTGTTTTCAGCTTAACCATATCATAATTTGTTTTTTTACCCTAGGATTGTGTCAGATGTATATGCTAATGCGTTAAGCTTTTTTGTAAATTATATTACTCTATTATTCCATTTCAGAATAATTAGCAAACAATAGTAGCATTACTCACCGTAAGATAACACACCTTTTTCAACGTGGCTCAATCACATTTAGTCATTCTATTACCAAAAATTCCTTACCTAATCCTATCTTATCTGAACCGATAAGTGCAATCAAAGTGCCTTCTTGGTATAGCGTGTTTACAACACAGTTGTGTCACCAGTGGTGTGGTTATTTGACTGTTGTAAGTAACGATTTTAAAATTCAGGGTTGACACTATGGGTAACGATCATCCACATCATCATCATCATCGTCATCATCACGACTGTTGTTGCGCGACTTGTCGTCCTCCCCCACCACCACCTCCTCCATGCTCCAGGTATGTCATGATTTTTGTTAATAAATAAAAAAATCCATTTTAAATCAAAAGAAATATATTAATCACACTGCTGTTTACATCTAAGACCTAAAGAAAAGATATTTGTGTACATTTATGGCAATTTAGAGTTAGTTTTGTTTGCAGCATTGGTTTTTTTTTCAAAAAAATTCATTTTAGAAAAACATGTTATGCTTATATTTTGAGGTACTAATGTTGAATAGAAATGTATTAATTGAAATACTGGTCCGAATATGTTAGTTAGGTGAGATAAAACAATTTAATATCTAAGGCAAAATAATTACGGGGTTCTTATTTGTGATTTTTTAACATCTGTAGTTTATGTGTGTTTTTAGGGGAACCCTAACTATAATCTTAAACTATTTTACGTTATAACTATTTTCTAAAGTACTTTTTAATAAAAAAATTCGTAATATAAACATGTTTGAGAAAAGTAAATAAAATCTTTGTGGGATAGAAACCTTGTACAAACAAATAATGCTACATATGTCAGTATTTTGATAAGTGTACTGTCGGAAATGTACCTTAAAAACTGTCAACTCTCGGCAACTTGTTATATTAATATACAACTTTTCTCTCGAATAAGTGAATAAAAACTTGGTACACAAATTCCTTTTAAGTATCTGTTCATAGAACTTTCATTTTACTTTATAAGAAAGGTTCATTACGAAGAGTCAAGAAGAATATGACAAGATTATAAAGGTTTAGTTAAATCTATTTAGTTTTGCTCTCCAATATCAAAGAAATGGTCCAAAATATTTAACCTACATTCATATTTACTGACGTAATTTTGCAACACACTGATATTCCCAAGGGATTGCCAAACTAGATTTATCAACAAGAGCACTTAAACGTAGTTATCAGTTGGATTACAAAGACAAACAAACAACTGATGCAAACCTATGTTTTTAATCAACCCAGCTGTTTCCTGAAGTACTGCATTCAAGAAGCCAATCACTGATCTTATATCATTGTTTACAAAGGAAATACCGCTTATATAAGGATTGCATTGCATTGTTTACGCTGTGTGAGTTTTTTAACACCATACAGATGTTATCCTTCACCAATCAAATATGGGCCGTCTAGGAGGGGTTTGGAAATACGAGTCGACGAATGAAAGCAAGGTTTTTATACCTTGTATTAAAACCGTGATCAAGAAAATGAAGAAAAATTATGATCAAAAACAGCTTGGCCCATGTTTTAAGTCATCCAATAGAAGAAACTAACCTTTCCAATGATGAAACAAGTACTCAGTAGCCTTCTGATTACTGGGCGAAAACTTTAACACAAACTTAGACACCCAGCTAAATAAATAAATATATGAAGGCTATTATTAGTGGTTTATCAAGACTTGTTCTCAGGTGTACACATTTTTTTCAGTCCCTGGCCACAGCAAACCTGGAACTATGGACCTCCCCCTCCCCCTCCACATCATCATCATCATCATCATCCGCCACCACCGCCTCCTCCAGGGTTTCCAAGCTGTCCACCACACCATCACCAGCCTCCCCCACCAAGATACTAGGTGAATGTCAACTTTATTTATTTACCACTCCAAAAAGTACTTTTTATACTTAACTACAGTTGGTGGTTATTTTGTACCCGGAACGATTTTTGCCATAATATAAACTTGTACAAAGTTATTTTTGGTTATTTAATCACTAAATTATATTCAGTTGCAGTATAGGAAACACGAACATGATATGAAACGAAAACGCATGAATCATAAAACTTACGTATAATATGTGTAGAAAAAGGTTTTCAAGTGCTAGATATGAAATTATTTGAATTTATTTTTACCTCTGTTACAGATGATCGTGATATCTAGCTATATAAAGGGAAATGAAGAAAATTGCGGGAATCTTAAACTTAAATAGCTTTTGAGAGGAAACGACTATTTTGTTAGCACTGTACTTTATTAAGCCTATATAAACGAATTTTACTATTTAAAATGTTTATTACTTCAAACTCTCCTATATAATAAGGTGATGTTACCTTCTATACCACTGGTATTTAACCACGGATAGGTTAATTCTTAAGCCCAAAAAACAAACAATTTTGTACATACCTCAAGTAATGGCAAAGGAATTTTTTATATTAACTTTTACAGAGGAAATGGAAAATGATGAATTATTTATGTTGATGCATTTGGCTCATTTTTGTATAAACTGTGCTACCAAACCTTCTGAATCAGTGTAGTTAGATACGTAGTCAAACTGATACAATACAATTCTATGAATCAAACGGGTTTTTATCGACCGACACGCTTCCATTTATTACGACTCTTGATATTCACACAGATGGAATAGCAAATTGATCCATTACCAGTTTAAGCATCGTGCGCTGTCACCAAGTCACGCATTCACACGTTTAATAATTTACTTGTACATTGAGATTCCATAAATATCACTTCTCGGGCAAATATTTGTTCCTTACTCCATTTAAACCACTTAAAAAACATTATCGTCTAGCTTTTAGTCTAGGGAATGTTTGAAAACGTAGAAGAGTTTGTTTGTTTTTAAATAACTCTCTTTGGGTTTATGGTTACGAGTAACTCGCGGTAGGATAGGAATGACTTAAGCCATTTGTAGTGGTAGGATTAGACAAGCAGCCCCACATGTAAGTAAATGACTTGTCCTTTTTAAATTAAATGAATAAAAAATCACGAACTATAATTTATGTATTTTAAACTGTGCCTTAAACATATATTTTATCATGGAAAAAACACGATATACGAGTTTGATTAGACAATTCAATGGCAAATGCATTCTTAGAACGACGTATCCATTTTAAATAATATCATACGTTGTACACAGTATTCGTCTTACTTTACCGATACTTAAAAAGTACCACTTATGATGTATTATAAATAATGGAGCACAGTGCTTATTTTTATTTGAGTTTTTACCTTTACCAATATAAGAGCACAAACAGATTGAATATAAATTTTTAAAGACACCTGTAAACCATAAACGTCTCGTCCGGAATAAATCCTAATCCTAGTTAAAATAGTTGAACTAATTTGTTCTACAGGGGGTCTCGTAACTCTATACCAATATTTAAGGGAATTGTTCCTGAGTAAGAACCTTATCTAAATATCATATTTAAATTGTCCTGAAGTCCTTAGTTACTCACACATCCGCCATTTTGTTTTTTCATTTAATATTTTTTCTCCAAAAATAGGTTAAAGATACGAAATCGAAACTTTGCAAAAACATTTATGATAACTAGACAAAACTATAAAAGAAATATTTACATATTTAAAACTCATCAAACAAAATGGCGGAAATTTAAAACTTTTGTAAAATAAACGGTTTTTGAGTTATTTATGGAAAAACGTTTTGCATAGCCACCGTTTTGCTTTACAAATTTGAAAAATGTTGATAATTTTTTGTAGCTTCGCCTATAGTTGTCATAAATGTTTGTGCAAAGTTTCAATTTTGTATTTTTAATAAACTAAAAAAAATCTATAAGTGAAAAACAATTGTGGCTGTGAGTAACTAAGGACTTCCGGACAATTTAAATAGGTATTATATTTAGATATGTTTCTTACTCAGGAACAATCCTCTAAAATATTGGAGAGTTCCGGAACACCCTGTATAATCCATTTTCTTTGCACAAATTAGATGACCATAAGGAATAACTTAAAATAGTGAACTAAATCTTGAACTACATACAAACTAACTTGAACTACAACTTGATACGATTTCCTTAAGGTTTCTAACTCTTAAAATGACTAAAAGGTTCTGTGTTCCAATCGCTGACAAAATTTAACTTCTAAAATACGATAGTTTAAGGCTGCGTTTACATTGGAGGCACGCTTGGGCAAGTAAAATGGTGGCGCACGCTTGGCCAAGCTTGCCCTTTGAAACAAAATTGTAGCAGATTACTGGAAACCGGTGGCGACTTGACCAGTGGTGGTTACAGTGCTCGCCACTAGCAAGCGCACGCTGGGACAAGCTTGCGCTTCTCAAATCACGAAACAAAAATATTTGTTTCTACAAGCAAGCGTGCCTCAGTTTGTTGTGGTTCATAGACACAGTAGTATCGGTTGTGTCTGTTGGTAAAGTGTTTATAGTTGTTCAGCATGGATACGGAGGTGTTGATTGATGCTGTTCGTGCAAGAAGGATATAGGATATATTAGTTTCAGGCTACAACCAGGGGTTCCCATCGCCTAATGAATGATTGTAGTTCATGTATTTTTCCACCAGATTTTAGTGATTAATTTGATTTCTTGAACAGGGGAAAATAACACAGTAATAATTTGTTTTTATTCACAACATATGTAATAACACACACCCTTGTTTTAATCATAAAGAAAAATAATTTCAATTACTTTATGACTTGTAATGCAATTATCTGTCAAAATTAAATTGTTTTCTCCTAAACTTAATTGCCTTCATTATGTACTACAATAGACCCTACCAATAAGGTAAATAATTCATTAACAATAATGGTAGCACAAGTGTAAATATATTTGATTAAATTACGCAAGTCGTAGGCTTATTTGAATTGTTAGCAATAACTACTACAATAATACTGTACATATAATGCCCTTTCAATTACCTTAACGTAACCATCAGCTTTTCTTCGGGAGAGATACACTTCCTGAAGTTGGAATGCTTTTCAATATTTGGTGTTATTCTCTCTAAAATGTAGTAAAATGTTTCTGGCATCATTCTAAAATATTCATAAAACTTATCTGGCTATTGCAGAAGATCAGCAAAAATCCGGGCATACTCCCTTCCTTCTTCTCGATCCATAAAAAAATCATTTACCCATTCCCCCCTTACTCGTTCAGAGTCTTGCCCAAGCGTGCTTCCAATGTAAACGCAGCCTTAGGTAAGGTGAATTACGAACAGGGCCTCTAACATGCCTTTGTCTTCTGAAGTTAAGCATCCTGATGTTAAATATTTTCCTGTCTTTCCCCCTTGACACCCTTCACTCAACTTGCTTCTAGCTCAAACCTCTTAGTGTCTCTGGATTTTTTTTGGCAATATTTCACTATTAATAGACATTCTACTAAAAGCAGTGACAGCAAAAAAATGTTGTTTTAGTAACAAAACTATCAAATAGGTACAATACAACGTTTGTTGATGGAAGGTCTAAAGCACCGAGATAATAATACATTTCAGAAGTATTACGTATACTATATTAAAATAGGTAAACCTTAAGTGTTTTCTATGTTAAAAGCTTAAATTAAAACCATACTAGGGGTCGTCCAGTGGTCGAAAACTCGACCAAAAATATGTAATGTGCACTTGACTATAGGAGACTGAAGTAGACATTCCATCAATGGATCAGCTTCTTTTATTAAAAAAAACGTGTATTTGAGTGAGCAAGTCACAGAATTCATGTCTAAAATCGTGTTTTCTACCTTATTTTTCCTGCTGACAAAGTTGATTGGTCTAATTTATATGGACTAATTTATATGGATAATTACTGCTAAGTATAATATACTTGACAAGATTAAATGAATTAACGCTATATAACATAATTATTCAATTTATTTTACGAACTCCACTTTGGTAGACGGACGCAGCATTTTATGTCGTTGAGGTTGACAAGTGACAAAACCGAAGGAAACAGATACACCCTTTAGCAGGAAATTACCAATTAACCTTGTGTCGTTATACAATGCTAACATAAGTATTTACAAAACACGTTTAAGAAATAGGCGTACTAATAAACATAACATTTAATTATAGCCTCAAAACCTTAACCTTAATATTAAAATGTTCATTTTCCAAAATGAGGTGTTTTCATTGTATTTGAAATAGGGTTAAAAGGCTGATTAGAAAAGAGTTCTTCTAACATGTTAGTTGCCATCACGATGGTGTCTAAATACATGGTTTTATATGCCAAAAATCTAATTGATAGTGCTTAATTAATGACCACGGTTACCAATAAACGAATTGCAGTATAGTAATCGTTAACCAAATATTACCTCTTCATAGTTTAAATTATTGCATCGGTATATTTTGTCCCAAGCCAAAGGTTTTCATGGTTAAAATTGTCCGACGATACCGCTCTAGGCAACAATTAGGTTGAGCGTTCAATAAATTAATAGAAAACTGTAGTCTCTCTAGCGGAAAGAGTTCAAACGGTGATATTACTCATATGAATCAATAGTTAACAGACGCATGCCTCTAGGGGTATGGTTAAAACCTCTACATGCATTGAACAATACAATTGTAGCCTTAAAAATTTCCAGTTCAGAGTGCAAAGTTTTACTCATAAATTTCGAAAATTCATCGTAGTCTAAGATTATTTTTCTTTTGTTATGAACCGGTTTGAAACTGCTAAAATCAATCAATAGATATTTCAACACACCCACCCTATTAGATTCAATACTGAACAACGAATATTGATGCATGGACGATGGACTGATTTGATGCAACAAAGTGCACACAAGTAATCAAAACTGCTGCTCAGGTTCGGTGTAGTTTAGGAACGTAGTGAATTGTAATGTAGTTCTATTGAGGGCTCACAACGAGCACGTAGATATCAACTGTACGATTGTAACTGACTCTACAACATTACACTCGGCACTTACAATACACCTGATATCATAGATTAACATAATCCCTTGGTAAATTTGTCACCCTTTATGTATCAGCAGAACACAATTTTAATGTTAGTTACATCCAATCTAGGGAAGTGATTTTGTTTAATTTTTTCTGGTTGTTTCAGTTATTTACAAGTTATTCTTGTTCAACCAGATAAAACGATCTAATCAAAAACAGATGTAATAGTTTAACAGTAGTACAACATATTCTTTTAATTGTTTATTATATTTACTGTTACGTTTGCTAACAATTTTTACTTCGTTGAAAATATTTAAGTATTAAGCTTTTCGCTACGCTACTGTGAAGTGGCCTGTTTTCGTTACATGTTTTTCACCTGCAAAAATTCGTCATCACTTTCTGTTTTACTACGGAAATGTTTACTATGCAAAAGA